CAGGACCCGGCAGAAGGCCAGCTGAGGCCACCAGGCTGGGCCTGGGCACCCAGGGTCCTGCTGCCTGCGCTGCTCAGACAGTCTAGGGAGACCACACCTGGACCACCCCGGACAGCGGGACCAGCCCGGGCTCAGGGTCACCAAGAGGGTGGGGCCCAGGTTGGTGACAACGTCAAGGAGAGCTTTCTGGAGGACACAGATAGCACTGGGCTTCAACACATGGAAAGATATGCAGATAGGATTAGAACAAACAGTACCCTTGGCCAGAGGGGCAAGGGAACAGGGACTTGGGAGGATGAAAGGGACTTGCCTGAGCACATGAGACCAGGGACAGCCAGCTGTGAGGAGGGATGAGTCAGTGTTTTAGCAAATCCTTGCTGCTGTCCCAGGGCCAGCAGGCCACTGTGTATAGTCTCACAGATTGGCGGAGCACAAAAGCAGAGACAAAGGGAGGAGTTTGCCCAGAGGGGGGCGCCATTTTCCACTTGCCACAAAGGCTGAGTAGAGTAAGGGGCGGCTGGGCAGGAAGGAGTCCCCGTATTCAGCTCTTTGGGATGCCAGCTGATCTGGGCCTGGGGAAGAGGACCTGGGATGAGAAGTTTGGGAAGAGCGGGGGCTGCTGGGGCCAAGTGAGAAAGCTGGGCTGGCTGCCAGGCCTTGGGCCAGCCTGAATCTCTGCCAGCCTGGCCTCTCAGGATGTGGGCAGCACAGGGCCAGCCGGGCTGGTTTTTACCTTTGTGGCTGTGAGGTGGTGAGGTGAGGGCAGCAGGTAGGCAGGTGCTAATTGCCTGAACTAATTGCTAATTGCAGTGCCCTGTGGAGAAAGTGTTACCTGGGGGTTACCTGGTCTCCTGCCCCACCCTCCTGTACCTGTTCCCACTTGCCTGCCTGCTGGGCTGCTCTTTGACTCTCCACCTGCCACACACTCTAGCAGCCTTCTGAAGGGGAAAGACACTTGTGCTCCCTCCAACCTGGGCAACCTGACCACCCTGACCCAGTTTCTGCTTGAGCCCTGGCCTTGCCCCCAGGTCTCTGGGGGTGTCCTGCAGGGATGGGCAGGACAAGGGCCCAGGGGAAGAGGAAGAGGGGAGTGTACTCTTAAGATTCCCACCACCCTGCACTGCCTGATGGGAGCTGGTACCTCCTGCAGTGCCCGCCCCCTTCCCACAGCCAGCCCTTTAGACCTAGCTCCTTGGTGATCTCCATGGTGTTAGGGCATGGGTCCCCGCAGGGAGAGGCAGCAGAGACAATGCCTCAACTCTGTCTGGCCCTGTCGTCTGAGTGGGGCTTCTCCACACCCACTGTGGCCCTTCAGCCAGTTATGCGTCTCCCCTCCATAGAGAGGTGCCTTGGTGAAATAAGCACAGAGGAGGGGCCTCCTGGAAGAGTGACCCCTGGCCCTAGTTCAGTTCAAAGATAAAGGGAGCCCAGGCTGCAGCTCTGGGTGGTTGGTGGGTGTTTAGGGGGCTACCACCCCCAATTCCCAGAACATCAGGTCTGGCTGGTTCTTGGACTCAAGGGCTCTCTCTCCAGCACTGTTCAAATGAGGAAAATGAGGCCCAGAGAGGGGCAGCGACTTGTCCTTCGTCACACAGTCCTGACTCAGGACGCAGTGCCTAAAGTCCTCTCACCCCACAGTGTGTGACATGCGGCAAAGCTTTTAAGAAGCTGTGGTCCCTCCACGAGCACAACAAGATCGTGCATGGCTACGCGGAGAAGAAGTTCTCGTGCGAGATCTGCGAGAAAAAGTTCTACACCATGGCCCACGTGCGCAAGCACATGGTGGGTGAGTCTGGGCTGGTGCGGGATGGAGCCAGAGGGCAGAGCTGGCCAGCTGGTGAGTGTGCTGGGAAGGCCTGTGGCCTGGTTACATTGGCAGATGTGGCCTGGATGGGCTCTGGGGCCAGGGCTCCTGGACAAGATGGTAGGTGGAGACCAGAATCCAGCTGGCACAGGTCCTGTCTCAGTCTGAGGATAGCTGTGCCTCTGATTCTTTCTCACCTTTGGGCCCTCACAGGGCTTTGGGCTCTTCTGAATGCAACCTTTCCCCTGGGGTCACACCAGGACACAGTGAGGAGGCAACTCAAGTGTATGTTGGGCTACCCCTCTGCCTTGGGCACGGCTGGGAGTCTGGTGTCTCTGCAGCCCTCCCTTCTTTGCCTGTTTATGGACTCGGGCTCAGAGAAAGGTGGCCAAGGTGGGCTTTACCCGTTTTCTCCACCAGACAGTGCTGGGGGACTCCAGTGTAAACTGCCTGGGACCTGGGATGCAGGGTCTAGGTCTCAGCCAGGAGATGCTGGGTAACTCAGGACTGGTGGTCCTTCCTGGGCTCAGATTCACCAGCCCTGAGCTCTGAGGGGCCCTCCCTGCCTCCAGTTGCTTCCTCCCAGATCTTCTACCTCATCAATCCATGGGTCCTGGGGTTGTGTGTGTGTGTGCAGCTAACCCTTAGAAGTGTCATCTCCTGTAAAGTGCAGCCACTAGTAAGCACGGTACCACTCCCAGCCTCCTTTTATAGAAGACACCAAGGCCCACAGAGGTTCTGCAGGGAGCCAGTGGCTGAGCCAGGATTTGAGCTGAGGCCAATCCCATTGGGATCCGTCTTTCCCTGAAATTTTGGTGGCGGGGTGAGGCGGCCTTGGCTATTTCTCTTGGCCAGAGGCTGAAGAACCACAAGAGCCTCCACACTTGTCTGACCAGACTTGAGAGCAGACAGAGCCCTAGCCCATGGGGAAGGGGGCCTGCCTGCGGAGCAGCCCCAGGTCCAGGGACAGAGACTGTGAGGCAGGCCCCAGGGCAGATGGGGTCCCCCAGAGCCATGACGGCCATGGTGCATGCCCTGTAGCTCACACCAAGGACATGCCCTTCACCTGCGAGACCTGCGGGAAATCCTTCAAACGAAGCATGTCCCTCAAGGTGCACTCGCTGCAGCACTCTGGGGAGAAGCCCTTCCGATGTGAGGTGAGTGCCCTTCTCCCCCTGCCCAGGGGCCACCCAGGACAGGTCAGGGGTCAGGGACAACAGCTGTTTAAAAGCCAGGGAGTGGGAGGAGTGGGGTACAGGGTTCTGAAAGAAAGGGGCCCTCTTTCCAATGTCTGTGGCCCTTGCCTCCCACTCCATGCTTACCTGGTCACCCACTGGCCTGCCCCCACCACCCCACTCTGCCACTCCACCCCTAATTCAAGCCCCACACATTCCGGGTGGGAGGTCTGCCTGGCCTCAAATCATGGGGCAGGCTTTCCGGAGAGGTGGTAAGGGTCATCTCAGGCAGAGAGATGGAGCTGCAGGTGGCATGAGAGGGCCTGACAACAAAGAAGGGTGGGGGGTGGGGGCTTGGCTTTAAGCACGAGGCCTGCCTCCAGCTGTGGCCTTTCCCACTTCCTGCCTCCCATTCCCACCTGGGCCCAGGGCCTCACGGTGCCTACCTCCGCCCCTACACCGCTCCCCCCAGGAGCCACAGCAAGTGCCTCCCTCCCTGAAGACCGCTCCGCGCTCTGCCCCTGGCCTCACCCTCCCCACTCTACCCCCACCCCCCAGAACTGCAACGAGCGCTTCCAGTACAAGTACCAGCTGCGGTCGCACATGAGCATCCACATCGGCCACAAGCAGTTCATGTGCCAGTGGTGCGGCAAGGACTTCAACATGAAGCAGTACTTCGATGAGCACATGAAGACCCACACAGGTTCGGCTGCCCGGGAGGGGCTCCCCGCCAGGCCCAGACCCCGTCTCAGCCCCGCTCGGATGCCCGGGAGGGCCCCGCCCCTTCTCGCCCCTGGACCTCAGTTTCTGAGGCTTGAGGCCATGCTGCCCGCCTCCCAGGTTGGGCGAGGCGGGTACAGAGTGGCCCACGGTGGGGAGGATCCGAGCGTGCCAGGGCTGAACCCCACTGTGGTTCCTGGGGCGCAGGGAGGCTGGCCCTGGGTTGGGGTGTAGCATCCCCCCAGTGACACCCCGCTGCCCACCGCCTTCCCCCCCCAGGGGAGAAGCCGTACATCTGCGAGATCTGCGGCAAGAGCTTCACCAGCCGGCCCAACATGAAGCGGCACCGGCGCACGCACACCGGGGAGAAGCCCTACCCCTGCGACGTCTGCGGCCAGCGCTTCCGCTTCTCCAACATGCTCAAGGCGCACAAGGAGAAGTGCTTCCGCGTCAGCCACCCGCTGGCCGACGGCGCCCCCTCCGCGCCCGGCCTGCCC